CAGAAGGATCGCCGGAGCCCAGCGGGTTGAGGCTGCGGTGGCCGGGAGCGTGCCACTGCATTCCAGTCTGGGTGACAGAGTGAGACTCCAATTCAAAAATAAAATAAAATAAAAAAAAAATCGCATCCCTCCAAACACATATAACACTTTTGCAGAAGTAAACATTCAGCCAAACTGCACATACTTACCTTTACTATGTATACATATATGTACACTGTTAATATTTTCTTCCTTTCTTTTTTTTAAATGCTGGTTAGGATCAGCTAAATTGATTTTATAACCTCCCCTTCTCCTCCCTTCTAATTGATCTGACCCAAGTATATGATCCCAGGTAATTAAGTATCTGAGGGAGAAACTTCAAGTAACTGTTAAGATAAAGTAAACTTGAAATTATACTGAAGACTGGGTGCAGTGGCTCACACCTATAATCCCAGCACTTTGGGAGGCCGAGGTGAGAGGATTGCCTGAGCCCACAGAGACCAGCCTGGGCAACTTGGCAAGTCCTCAGCTCTGCAATAAATCAAAAAATTACAGGTGTGGCACGCACCTGTAGTTCCAACTACTTGGAAGGCTGAGGCGGAAGGATCACCGGAGCCCAGCAGGTTAAGGCTGCGGTGGCCATGAGCGTACCACTGCACTTCAGCCTGGGCAACAGAGTGAGACTGCCACTCAAAAGAAAAGAAAAGAAAAGAAATTATACTGAGCAGTTTACATTTGATTTTTGTGCATTTTCATTTTATGAGATACAAGACACACTTCGGAGTCCCATTTATGCGAGACCTGAGGGGTAGGTAGTCTGGTGTGGGAAGGAGAAAGGGGGAAGGAGCAGGAGGGGAGAGCAGGGCAGATGGGAAGCAGAGGTTGGGTGACTCGGCTGTCCTGGATGTGCTGCTAGGTCCTGGTGACCCTGGGATCCAGGGAAGAGTGGGTCACAGAGCAGGGGCTTGGAAGGAAAGGGATGGAGTCCTATGAGAGACCTCAGAGATCATCTGTCCAGCCTCTTCATTGTGCAACGTGGGGAAACTGAAGCTCAAACCTGTCTCAGTGACTGGGCTAGGACCTGAACATCTCCAGAACCGCTGAAGGGCCTGGTGTCCAGTGTGTGGGTTGGAGGGGGTGAGCACTCCTTCACCCCAGTGTACCCATAAACCCCTTCTCTTCCCAGCTGTGGCCACTGCAAGGAGAATGAGCCATGCTCTCCAGACACAGGCAACTGTGAGTCCTGCGAGCCGGGCTGGAATGGGACACAGTGCCACCAGCCCTGTCCACCTGGCACCTTTGGTGAAAACTGCGGGCAGCAGTGCCCCCACTGCAGGCGTGGAGAGGCCTGTCAGCCAGACACTGGGCACTGTCAACACTGTGACCCTGGCTGGCTGGGGTCCAGGTGAGGGGGCCACCCGCCTCAAGATGGGGTATGCCTTCCCACAGGATCCTCACCTCTACTGCTCTCCCCAGGAGAGCTGTCCCTCCCCAACACACATTCACCCAGCCCTCTGGGGCCTTCCTGCCTCCTGGTGAAGACTGAGGAAGAGAAATGGGTGCTGAGGAGCCTTGGGCAGGATTTTCTTGGTTTCCCACCTCGCAGGCTTCTTGCCCTCTTCCCCTCTGGTGATCTATAGTCTGTCACCTACTGGGTTTGTCCCCTTGTTCAAGGTCATTTGCACTTGAGCGTCACTGCTGGGGAGTGATCAGTTGGGTCTCTGGGTCCAGAAGCATGGGGCAGATTGGTGGGGCAACCACTGTGGAGGTCAAGCCTGCCCTGCCTTCCCATTCCCTGAGTCTTGCCTCACCCAGGTGTGAAGATCCCTGCCCCACTGGCACCTTTGGGGAGGGCTGCAGCTCTACCTGCCCCACCTGTGTTCAGGGGGCCTGTGATGCTGTGACAGGAGAATGTGTCTGCAATGCCGGCTTCTGGGGACCCAGGTGAGGACTTGGGCCCTGGTGACAGGATAGTATCAGGGGCCTTGGTCAGGCCTCTGTGCAATCTGTTTCCTAAATTCCCTTCCTCCCAGATACCCACCCAGCATCCTCATAAGTAAGATATTCCTCCTGTTGTGGGACCTGTGTCTTCCAGTGGAAAGTCAGCTGATACTTTACCTAAAAGGACTGGCTCCCTGAATTGATGAGGAGCTTATTCAGAGGCAGGCTCAAAACCCTTGATTCCCTAAGGTCTTCAGGTAGTAACACAATCAGTGTCTATAGTCAGATTTTTCACCTATAGGACCACTTTTAGTGTCAAATGGAAGTAATTTCATTTTACAAAGAGAGGACCCAGAGAGTTAGGGACAGGATTGGGCCTGGCGCAGACCTCTAGACCCTGAGGTCGTCTCCCTGGATGCCATGACATCTGGCTTACTTCAATTATTGCAGAGTGGGCAAGGGGATGACGATGGTCACGGTGGACTCTGCCCCTAGGGTTGTACACTGGCCAGGGACAGCCAGGCAGCTTGTGGGTGGTCTCCCTGGAAGATGGGCTTGGGACTGAGGAATTCTCCCACACCCTGCCAGGGGTACTTACAATGTGGCTCAGAGGTTGGAGGGGTCTGCCTGAGCATCATCCAGGGATGTCTACCTGGCAGGGGGCGGGGGCAGTACCCAGAAATCTACCTCCCCCTCTCCCCTGCCCACCTCCTTCCCTTCTCACCCAGCCTTCAGCCTGCCTCTCCTTGTTACCCCATAGCTGCAACACTTCCTGCCCATCTGGCTTCCATGGAAACAACTGCTCAGTTCCCTGCGAATGCCCAGAGGGACCCTGTGACCCTGTCTCTGGGGTCTGCCATCGGGGTAAGGTGGAGGGAGGGTACAGGGTGCAGTAAGTAACCAGGGAAAGTCAGACCCTTTATGTGGGCTCCAGAGGCCTGTCACTTGCCAGGGAGGATGGGACCACTCCAGAGACATTCCCTATGCTGAACTCTGTGTGGTTGCTTTGGAGCCCCCTGAAAATGTAATAAAGCCCCTGCCCTCTGAGAAATCAGGCTAGAGCCTGGCAAGCAGAGCTGGACACTGGCATGGCATGAGAATCAGGGACAAGAACTTGTGGAATGGGCCATGGATCATAAGTAGGGGACATGCCAGCAGAGAAACTGCCTGGAGGCAGGGAGAGACCCCCAAGAGGGGGCAAGTCAGAACTAAAGGTGAGACATGTTGTGAGGGAGACAGGAAGGCCCTGAATACTTGACGATCTCTCGCAGGCTCTCACAGTCAGGATACCGCCCTCATCATAGGCATCCTTGTGCCTCTGCTGCTTCTCCTCCTGGGCCTCGCCTGCTGTGCCTGCTGCTGCTGGGCTGCCCGATTGGACCCCAAGGACAGGTAAACACTGGCCTGTCCCTTCCCACCCCACAGCTCAGGCCATGAGGGGGAGCAGGGTGGCAAATGGTTTCTTTTCAGGGGTGGGGAAGGGCTGGCCTTGTTAACATGTAGGTTAGTGAGAATGGAGGTCGTTGGTAGTGATTGTGGCCTGGAGACACCAGACCAGCCACCTCTGTCTTCTTTGGAAGGCTTCCATGGGGAAGTTTCTAAGTTGCATGAGTAGGGGACACTGGCACTAGGCTGGCGAAACTCAAACCTGTAGCAGGACCAGGGGAAGGGAGCCGGGAAGGTGGGAAAAGTGGCTCAGCTCTGGGGAGGGAGGGGAAGAGACCAGGAACTCAGACATTCCAGAAAGGAACGTGACACAAAAGTCTGCAGTGTATTTAGCAGAGGATGTGACTCTCTAAGAGTTGGAGAGGGGAGGGAGAGTTGGGCTGGCAGGGCCACCTCAGGGGAACGATGCTTACGTAGAACTGCGTTTCTTTATGAAACCTCTTCACACCTCTTGGTTCCTTTGAGACTCACAATAGCATGGAGGTTTGGAACAGGGAATGTGAGGGTGAGGATTTTTGTCCTCAATTCACAGAGGACACCAAGGCCCAAGGTGACCCTGCTAGTCTCTGGCACACACAGAGTCCCTGCCTGGCTTTCTGGACTCTTTGTCCGGTGCTCTCTTATTAACTTGGGCACTAATCCTCGAGCACATCCTCTCTGTGCTGTGGGGCTTTCACAGATGAGCAGACCCAGCTGCCCCTGCCCCAGGACATAGAGCCTGTGGGTGGGGGGAGAAGCCCCTCGCAGGAGCATAGACGTGTATAAAGGCTATCAGAGGAATGGAGCGCCAGCTTTGTCATGGAGAAGAGGGGACAGGGGCAGGTTTTCTGGAGGGAGTGCCATTTGAGACAGGTGAGCTGGGGCTCGGCTAGGATGATGATAAAGGGCTGCATTTTGGGGAACCCCAGCCTTGGTACTGTACTGGGCCCTGAAAAAGGCTCCGATAGGATTGTTGTCCCCATTTTACAGAGGAGGAAGCTGAGGCCCAGGGAGGTAAAGTCTGAATCAGTTGCGACTCATGTCGGTCTAACTCTAGAGCCACAATTCCTTTTGGGGCAGGCCTGAATCTTGGGCTTAGCAGTTCGGATTTCATTCTGTTGTCAAGAGAGAGTACTCACCCTGTCATGCCCTTGCCAAGGGTACGTGAGCCCCCTCGGGTCTTGTGCACTGACCACTGTCCCTGCACTTCTCCCTCAGGCCAGCAAGAGATGGGGCTGCAGTGTCCAGGATGAAGCTGCAGGTCTGGGAGGCACTGACCAGCTTGGGCTCTGCACTGCCCTGTGGTTCCCTCAGCACCCACAAGTTACCCTGGGTAACAGGTAAGTGGGTGCTGGAGTTGGGGACTGGGATGGGACATGGCCTCACATCAGGCTCTGCCCCTGACCTGGAGCCCCTACAGTCTCACACCACGACCCGGAGATCCCCTTCAACCACAGCTTCATCGAGCCACCCTCTGCCGGCTGGGCCTCTGACGACTCCTTCTCTTCGGATCCCGAGTCTGGAGAGGAGGATGAGGGTCCTGCCTACTGCGTGCCACCCCAAGAAGGTAGTCCCCCAACAGCCCCTCAGCCCCTGAGCAGCCCCGCCTACCACGACCTCTTCTTCTTTCTTTCTTTCTTTTGAGTTGGAGTCTCACTCTGTCACCCAGACTGGAGTGCAGTGGCCGCTCCCGGCCACCGCAGCCTCGATCTGCTGGGCTCCAGCGATCCTTCCGCCTCAGCCTTCCCAGTAGCCGGAATTACAGGCATGTGCTACCACACCCAACTGATTTTTTTATTTATTGTAGAGAAGCGGTCTCACTGCCCAGGCAGGTCTCGAACCCATGGGCTCAGGCAATCCACTCACCTCAGCCTCCCAAAGGCGTGGGATTACAGGCTGAGCCACCGACCCTGACTACGACCTCTTCTTTAGTCCTTCAGCAAACGCTGATCAAGTGCCCATTCTTGGACAGGCTCTGAGGACCCAGGAAAGAACAAGAGCTACTCCTATCCTCACCAAGCTTGTCATCTGGTGGGCAGTCATGGGACAGGTCATCAGGCGATGATAGGACAGAGTGATGCCTTGATGAGTAGGGGCTCATTAATCTAGTCATGTTAGGGGTAATTTGTGTCAGGGAAGATAACTGTGTTAGTGATATTAGAGTTGAGTCTAGTGGAATCAGCAAGAGTTAGCCAAATGAGTCAGGGAGAAGTGGGGATGGTGTTTCAGTAAGAGGGAACAGCATATATAAAGGCCTAGAGGTGAGAGGAGCGTGGCTTTGACATTGAAAGAGTTTTAGCTTGGTTAGACTGTGGCAATGGTTCAAAGTAGAGAGGGGGTGAGAAAGGAGTTAGAAGTAGCAGCACCTGCCTGAACTGGCCCACCCCAAACTCACGCTATGGCATTGCTCTCTTCCTTGCCCCATTTAGAATTTTATTTTTATTTTGCGCTATATATTTTTTGAGTCAGAGTCTCATTCTGTCGCTCAGGCTGGAGTGCAGCGGCACACTCATGGCCACCGCAGCCTCGGCCTGCTAGGCTCAGGGGATCCTTCCATCTCAGCCTTCCAAGTAGCTGGAACCACAGGCGTGTGCCACCACGTCCGGCTAATTTTTTTATTTATTGTAGAGACGAGGTCTCGCCATGTTGCTCAGGTGGGTCTCGAACCCCTGAACTCAGGCAATCCTCTTGTCTCCACCTTCCAAAGTGCTGGGATTACAGACATGAGCTACCACTCTTGGCCATGTTAAATGTTATTCATTTATTTATTTATTTATTTGCGTTGGAATCTCTGTTTCCCAAGCTGGAGTGCAGTGGCACGCTCATGACTACTGCAGTCTCGACCTCTTTGCCCCTTTTTTTTTTTTTTTTTGAGTTGGTGTCTCACTCTGCCCAGACTGGAGTGCAGTGGCACGTTCCCGGCCACCGCAGCCTCGACCTGGCTGGCCTCCGACGATCCTTCCACCTCAGCCTTCCAAGTAGCTGGAACCACAGGCGTGCACTATCACACCCAGCTAATTTTTTTATTTTATTGTAGAGATGAGGTCTCGCCAAATTGCCCAGGTGGGTCTCGAACCCGTGGGCTCAGGCAATCCACTCACTTCAGCCTCCCAAAGAGCGATATTACAGGCTGAGCCACCGAGCCCGGCTGTCCTTGCCCCATTTTTGAGACCTCTCAGAAGATGCTGAGCTGTAGGTAGGATGCAGTAGGGTGGCCAGCTCAGCTTCAGTCAAGCTTCTTATGTCTCCTATGCTAGGGATGGTTCCTGTGGTCCAAGCAGAGCTGTCAGAAGCCAGCCTGGCTGGGGGCCCTTTCCCTCCCCCTGAGGATGCCTCCACACCATTTGCCATCCCACGTACTTCCAGCCTAGCCCGGGCCAAGCGGCCATCAGTCTCCTTTGCTGAAGGCACCAAGTTTGCACCACAGAATCGCCGAAGCTCAGGGGAGCTCTCCAGCCCACTTCGAAAGCCCAAGAAGCTCTCGCGGGGGGCCCAGACAGGTCCTGAAGACCAGGAGGCTGAGGAGTCCACCAGCGCAGAGCAAGCAGAAACAGATGAGACCCCTCCTGCTACTGCCAGCCCCAGGGATTCAGCTATTGGTCGACGGCGCCTCCCACTTGGCGGACGGACAGTGGCTGAGCGTGTGGAAGCCATTGAGGGCAGTGTCCAGGAGAGCTCAAGCCCTATAACCACGATCTACATGCTGGCTGGGACACCTCGGGGATCTGAGGGCCCTGTCCGGTCTGTCCTCCGCCGTTTTGGTAGCTTTCAGAAAGGCCAGGCAGAGCCCAAGGTCAAGAGTGTCATCCCTAAGCCTCCACGCCGTGCCTTGAATCGGAACAAGGGCAGCCCTGGGCTGGCCCCTGGCTCTGCCAGCCAGAGCCCCAACTCAGCCCCAAATGCTGAGCTTACCGGGGCCATGGAGTCTACAGGAGTCAGGCCAGAGGAAGTAGCCAGGGAGCTAGGGGCTGGCACTGAGAGCTCAGGGAAGGTCCAGGAGCTGGTCTCTGGAGGTAGCCCCTCAGAACAGGATCCCCAGATGCAGGTTGAAGAAGAAGGGCAGGAGGAGCCCCAGTACGAGAATGTTGTACCCATCTCTGGGCCATCAGAGTCTTGAGGACCTTGAATTTGGGGAGGAGAAGACTGGATGGGGCAAGATGAGGCACCAGAACTATCCATGGGTCAGATCGTACTTTGTGCTGGAAAATGATCCCAGGGCCAAAACAGACATACCAGAGCCTCTGCCCTTCCATAGGGAAATGGCGGGGTGAGAGGCCAGTTGGCTTCGGGCCCTGGCGGTACTCCAGGAGTGGGTCTGGAAGGCTTGGGCGGAGACCCCACAGGATGGGGTCAGGAAGGGGGATGAGAAGGCTGCAGGGACTTTTCCTCTGTTGTCCTGGATTCTGCTTCACAAAGCTGTTCTTTCATTTGCAAAACATTTTTCTGAAATGGGAAACAACCTGAATGCTGGACAATAAAAGCTTGGTAATTAAACAAATATTTCTTGTGATAGGTTACTACACAGCTACTAAAAATCATGTTGTGCAAGAATTAAGCATGTGAAAAGTACAAGTTAGGGTATATAGTACAGTTCCACTGTTTTGTTTTTATGAACTTTATTTATTTATTTTTGCCTCAGGATATATGTTTAGAATTCTCCCTCTTTGAAACTTCAGTAACTTTAGGGGGCACAAGTGATTTTTGGTTACATAGATGCCTTTGTAGAGTAGCGAAGAAGTCTGGCTTTAAGTGTACCCTCCACCCCGACCTGTCTCGCTATACCCAATAGGTGATTTTTCATCCTTAGCCCCCTTTCCATCGTCCTCCTACAATGCTTCCTTTTTGTGTATCTTTTGCAATTGTTTTATGAGCCTTTTAAAATAAAAAGGATATGTGTGTAAAAAAGAAAAAAAAAGATTTACGGGAAAGGCATCAAAATGGTATTTTTCAGCCGGGCTCGGTGGCTCAGCCTGTAATCCCGCACCTTTGGGAGGCTGAGGTGAGTGGATTGGCTGAGCCCGCGGGTTCGAGACGCGCCTGGGCAGCGAGACCTCATCTCTACAATAAATCAAAAAATCAGCCGGGTGTGGTAGTGCATGCCTGTAATTCCGGCTACTCGGAAGGCTGAGGCGGAATC